TCTCGAAAAACCAAAAAAAAAAAAAAAAGACATCAAGGCCATGGCCTCCTCAGGCAGCAGAAAGTGACTGTGTGCCACACTGGGAGTACTTTGACCACATGAGACTTCAAAGCTTACCTCCACAGTGACAAACTTCCTCCAACCATGCCACATCTACACAAACAAGGCCTAGGAAGTTCTACTAGTACAACTCCCTATGGTCCAAGCATTCAAAACTATCATTCTATGGGGGACATTCCTAGGCATACCACCAAGCATCCATTATTCAGTACATTTGGATTAGTTTTGAATTTATTTGGTGGCCAATATCCGTGAAAAAAAAGCATCTTTATTGTAGGGCTAGAGCTCAACTTGTCCGTGGGAATAAGGGTGTGTATTTAGAATGAACCTATAAATTAAGCTAGTTTAGGAAATGGCCATTATAGGTTCTCCTCTAGAATCTATAATATCACTATCCATGTAAAGTTAATTGCATTACAGTATCAGACATGATTTCAATCCTTTTTAGCAGCCTGAAGTCCAAATACACAGTTTTTGGTTTCCTCCAAAATTAATTGCCACTCTTGCATATTTAGGGATATCTTGCCATGTTGTTAATTTCTGTAGTTTGTAGGAATCACATCTGGGTAGAAGAATTGATTGTTTTTCTCTGTTGTGAGTTTACATAGAAGCATCAATTACTATATGTTCTAGTCCTCAGAGAAGAGGTTACTGCATCAGATCAGCATACACAGGGAATACAGAAGTGGACAGAAGATCCTCTGCATGTATATTATAATTATTAACCGAGTATCTGTATGAGATTCCTGCCTCTGAGAACAAGTGGGTCTCTGACTATTGTGTCTGCTCCTGAGATTCTTTTGCCACTGTTAGATTGCAGGGTCCAACATCAATATGATAGTTTTTGTTTCATCTTATATTTTGTTTTGTCATGTTTTACAGTTTTTTTCTTAGAGGCCTGTTCTTCTCTAATGAGAGAAAGAAAGGGAGTGTATCCCCATGGTAGAAGATGTGGGGATGAACTGGGAAGTGTTGGGAGAGGGGAAAATATAAACAATATATATTGTGTGAGAAAATAATCTATTTGAATAAAAAGAAAAAGTTCATTTTCACAGTGAATAATGAGATTAACAACCTTTAATTAAATTAACTTTAATTTTCAAAGAGTAACATTATTAACATTAGAAGTGTTTTTTGAGAACTTGCTGTCTATTTTTCAGACTACTAAAATTTCCATGACTACACAATAGTCATGGTTGTAATTGTATAGCAACTTACATGAAACAGACAAATACATAGTTGCCCAGAACCTACAGGGATGGAAGCATAAAGAAACGCAAAATTTATTCCATAAATAACTTGTAAGGCTGAATCACTAAAGAAAGTTGACAAAAGTGAACAATTTTTAATGATGAAAACAAACTGGGGGTAGAAGAGATGCCAGTGTATTAGCAGCACACATGCAAATCCACTTCCAACTCAGTATTCACTGTGGACATTGACAGCTTTTCCTTCAAGGCCAGGATCAAGACAAGGATGCTGCAGTAGCCACTTTTCTTCAATACTCTCTTAGACATCCTAGACAGAACAATCATGCAGCACAAATAAATAAAAGTTGGCCAATTAATTGGCTGTAAAATAGACCCACAGTTGACATGAACTTAGTTTTAGAAAATGCTAAAGATTCTACAGGAGATTCTGGAACTAGTGAACAAACACAACCACATGAGCTCAAATAATGTAAACTAATGTTTCACAGAAATCATTAGATGTCCTGTTTGTCACATGCATAAAAAAGCTAAGTAACAAAGGAGACTCAAGCAGGACCCATATATCTCCCTGGGAAGAAGAATTAGAAAAAATTTTGCAGATGGAATAGGGGCAGGTGGGGATGAGAAGATGAGGAGACAGTTGGGGTAAGTGGGGGTCGAAGGAGGGAGTACTTGCGGTAATGACTGGAATGGTGGGGCAGTTTCAAAGCAATGTGGAAACACACTACAGTGCAATCTCCCTGGAATCTACAAGAATGGCCCTAAAAAAGACTACTAATAGTGAGGGATAGGTAGCCTGAAACAGCCATCTTCTACAACCACAGAAGACTTCTAGAAGTGGGATTGGGACACCAATCCAGCCACAAAACATTTCACCTACAATTTGTCCTTCCTGAAATATGTACTGTAGTAATGTTAAAACAGAACTTGTGGAATTGGCCAACCAATAACTGTTCCAAAATAAGTCCCATGCCATGGGAGAGACCACATACATGGTACTGCCTGGATGGCCATGAACCAGAGGCTTGACAGCACTGAAATTCAGGATGGAAACAAACATGACTGAAAAAAACATTTCAATGAAATGATTATTAATGATATTCACTTATAGTAGTAGATCCGTGTCTAGCCTTATTGCAAGCAGAGAAGTATTATCCACATCATATGGGAACAAATGCAGAGACATACAGCCAAACACTTGGCAGAGCCAGTGGAATCAAACAGAATAGGCAAAGGATGGATTGTAGTAGCCAAAGGGTCAAGGACACCATGAAAACATGGCACACAGAAACAATTAAGCATACCTTACAGAGGATCAAGAGACTGAATTGATGATTGCAGACCCTTTATGGGTTTGAGCTAGGACCTCAGCATATAAGTTATTGTAATATAGATGGGTATTCTTCTGGAACTCCTAACATTAGAAATGATGAACATCTATGATGCTGTTGCCTGGACTTTGAACACTTTTTCTTCCTATTGAGTTACTTCTCCTAGCTATTATATGAGGGATTGTGGCAAGTTTAATGTAACTTGCAGTGACATGTTCTATTCACATCACTGGTAGGCCTGTTAACTTTTTGAAGGGAAAGAGAAGATCTAGGATAGAGGGGAAGTTGGGTTGAAAAAGAGTGGAGGGATGGGAAACTGTGGTCAAATGTAATATATGAAAGGAGAATAAAAAGGAAAGAAATACATATTAGTAAGGAAACTCTCATATGCAAGGTCCCACTATGAATCAGGATGATCAAATCCTTACATGAAGGATTTTACATCTGTGCATCAAACAAACTGTGGATCAAAGCTATTTAGTAACCAGCTATGTCCACAGTGAAACATGGGCAGACCCTTCTCCTGTCACTCTTCCTCACTTCACCTAGATGAATAATGTGCAGCAGCATTGGGCCTAGATTAATTAGTTAGACACTGAATGTATTTGAGCATATGAGAGGATAATTTTCTCTATGCAAACAATGCATCATTTTCACAGCAGACTCAAATAATCCAAAACTTCATGCACTCTTGAAATTAGTTCCCATAAATTCTGAGGGATCACTATATATTTGAACCATAATCTAAGCTCTTAAGGCCTTTAATTTTGTTTACCATATGGATGTCGTTATTTTCCTTTTAAGACAACTTCACTTTAAATCTTGGCCTTTCTTTGTACACACATCTATCCCAGGGTTATAGGCATGAGTCACCATGCTGCCTGTACCTGATTAGTAGGTAATCATTTTCACCACATATCTTTTCTCCATTTTTAACCCCATTGATATAGAAATACTAGCATTCTACGGAGGAAGAAAGGTCACTCACTCATCATGGCCAGGAGACTGGGAGACTGGTCTTCAAACTGAATTGGTTGGAGACTTCACACTTATACTCTCCAGCATCCTCATTCTCAACAGGGTCTATTCTGAGTCCACACTTTGTGGGGGACAGAGTCATCCTCTCAGTGAGCTTCAGATTCTTGTTATTGAAGATCCAACGGATAGAGACATCAGTATCAGGTGAAATGCAGGTGAAGATCACAGATCTACGTCCTGCAACTGTGGTATCAGAGATTTGCACAAAGGGCTGTGACACATACTCTGTGAAGAAACAGATGAGGGTACCAAATGACAGGAGTCTGGAGAGTTCAACTAGGCCACCTTTACTTCATAATTTACAAAGCTTCCCAGAGGGAGGATTCAGAGCTGTGTCTATAGACATATCTTGTACTTTGGATCTCCCTCCCATGAATTGTTTTACCATAATTCAGGTACTGTTTCCTGTGTCTCAGTTTGCCATGTCCATGTAAGCTTAGTTATGAGCAATGGTCTGACCTTGGGATGGGGAGCTGCTCACATCAGTAGCATCTGTTATTCACCTGCAGAAAAGAATTCCCTAGGTTGGACACCATGAGTTGTAGGAGGAATCTGGAGTATCTGCCTCCTCTGGATCTTTAATTGGTGCCTTGACCTTCCTATGAAGTCTCAATCCCATCAGAACAATAGGCTAATGGGCCAGACACCCATCCACTGAGCCTCAAGTGAAAGAGAGGCACAGTTGACCTACTAAAGTACACTTGTGTTGGCAGTACACACCTGATTCTACACTCTATGGGACAGTCAGTCCCATGATTTTGTCAGTAAAGCCTTGTTCCCAGTTAGCTCTCACAGGAAATCTAAACAAACAGCAAATAAAAGCTCCACAATGTCACCTTGAGTCAAGTCAGGGGAAAGTTTTTCAGACAGAGATTTCTGGTGATCTCTGTGAGGACCTTATGGTTTAATCAGCCAGGGACTGCCTGACTCCCACTGAGTCCTTCTGCAGATACATGCATGGTGAGAGCTCCAAGTGTCTAGGCTGCAGCTGACACCCTGTGGCTGAGTTAATCCAGCACATTTCCTCCATTTTGCAGGTAAATATATGTGAGTGATTAAGATCTATTACAATTTGTCTTCCACATGTGTTTCCTGCAGTAGGAGCCCAAACTACATTGAGGTACACAATGCAGTTGGGGAGAGAGCAGGAACAGCCAAAACCTGACAGTTTAGTGTATGAAGTAGGATAACCCACACCCAGCAGTTGAAGACCATAGGGAGTTACTTACTCTTTATATAAAATTCCATATATGCTTTTTCAATTTTGGAGTCTTTCTTTGAAACTTCTAGTGTGTATATTCCTGCATCTTTCTCAGTGACATCCTGGATTATCAGAGATCCATTATTGAACACCATCCCTCTTGTTCTGTGTGCAGGCTCCCAGGAGGTGGAATTCATGGCTCTATTGTATTCAACAATTTTAAGAACCTCAGTCCCATACGTTGATTTGTGCCAAGAAAAGGATTGCATATCTTCTGGAAGGTTATGAACTTGTAAATGTATGTCTTCTCCTTCAGCAGCATATTGAGGCTCCAGTTGGATCACAAGTTGGGAGGAAGTGAGAGGGTTACAGAATAGAGAAAGTGGAGCTGGGAGGAAAAAGAAAAAAAGGCATCACAATGGGGATCATTGTGGTTGATGAAAAGATGGTGACCTCCATCCTGAGCAGATGGATTTGTCACTCAGCCTAGAGGTGCAGGTGTGTGTGTGTGTGTGTGTGTGTGTGTGTGTGTGTGTGTGTGTGTATCCCACTTAATGAGGGGCAGAAATATTACCTCTTCCTTTCCAACAGTGCCCCTGAAGGTTTTATCTCCTCTTCATGGAACTGTCTGCTTGGGAGTGAGTCTACATGGCTGCTCCCTCACTGCTCTCAGTCAGACACTGTTCACATTCATGCACACTGGGGTTTGAGACGATGCCTCCCCTGAACTTAACAGGCCTGGAACTTTCACTTTCTGTTTTTTTTCTTCATTTTGCTTTAAGGCAACACTCAACCCCTGAGTTCTACCAGATGCACATGCTGCTCTGTCAAGTACCCCTTGGTTCTGGGAGCAGTCTGACCTTCAAGGCAAGCACAGATATTTAAAAGGCTTGGGTATTAGGCTGGCTATTTTTATGTAAACTTGACACAGGCTACACTCATTTTTCAAGACAAGGCCTCACTTGATAATGCCACCACCAGATTGTCTTCTGGGCAAAACTATACTGCAATTTTAAAATTGTAATTG